CGGGTGGTTCGGGGCGAGCCCACGGCGCAGGCTGCCTCCCCGCTCCCCTCCATGCCCCCATGTGCCAGTTGGTGCAAACTATGTCTTTAAGGCATCTACCGAGGTGTTTTAGCCTCCAGCGTGCCAGGCCGGTAGAGGTACCTCCAAATGGCGTAGTAGTGGATGCCAGCTCCGATGGCCACAAAGAGGTGCCAGATGGCATGGGCGAAGGGGATGCGGCCGTCACTTTTGAAGAAGACCATGCCCAGGCAGTAGAAGAGTCCACCGGCCACCAGCTCCGGGAGGCCATCCCTGTTGGGCTGGGAGCAAGCAGGGAGGGCTCAGTGATGGCCACGACGTACCTGCCCTTTCCCCACAGCTCCATCAAGACCAGAAGCGTGGCCCCAGCTGCGGGGTGCAGGCAGGACCTTCACTCTGCCTTCTGCTACACCCTCCCCTCCAGCAACACAGCAGGGACCCAGCAGCCCGGCATAGCTGGGAGGCTTTCAACGCAACGGAGCCCGGGCAGCAGGTCCGCTGGAGATGCACGTGGTATTTGCTGGGCACCCGAATCATTTGCAAAACTGAGCTGGGCCACGTCGTATTCGGGGCTGGCTTTATCCATCATGCAGCCTGGATCACACCAACCCACTGGACTTGTCCCTCGTGCTGAGCCCCTGTGCTTCCCGGCGGTGGCTTACCATGGAGAGAATGACCAAGGCGGGGAAGAAGCCCATGATAACGTAGCACACCAGCTCCACCAGCTTGTACCTGCGACCGACAGAGAAGCTGCTTGGAGGCAGGTGTGGAGGAAGCATCGAGCTTTACACTTGCAATGCCCACTGCCGTGCTATAGGAAAAGGGGTGGAGATGCCACCGCGGCAAGTCCCACATCTTCATGCATGAGCCACACCACCACAGCAGGGCTGGCACCCTGCACCGGGGGTGATGGACCCCCCACCTTGGGAGCCGCCAGCTCAGGGCTGGGTGCTTGGGGTTTCGGGGAGACATCTGGGGCCTTTTGCTTTCTATTTGGTGCCACCACGTGGAAGAAGCAGCTCATGGCAGCACATCCCTACTCCCATGTCCCTGCTCCCATGTCCATGCTCCCAGGTTCCCGCTCCCAGGTCCCTGCCACCGAAGCTCCTAAAAACAAGGTGTAGATGGGGAAGGACGTGGTCTAAGGAAGCCCTCCACTGCCAGTTGGCCAGGAGGCTGCCCAAGGACCCTGTACCTATCTGTCTGTCTGTCTCCATCCTTCTTGCTCTCCCCTGCATCTTGACGACCCTCAGGGCATTAAGAGGGGCTGGCAGAGCTGAGCTGGGCTCTGTGATACCCACCAACACGGGGTCGGGTAAAGGCACTCACCGCTCATGGAAGAAGAAAACGTAGACAGTCCCGATAGACGCCATGATCCAGATGATCCATCGCATGTGGGAGGCCCAGGGACCCAACTCCCGCAGGTTCAGCCTGCAAGAGCCAGGTCTGTGGTGAGGGGGGCCCAGGGCAGCACCCCGGTCCGAGCTGTGGGCAGCAAGGTACCGAGGGAAATGCTGCCCTCACCCCCATGGCTGTCCCCCCAAAGGGTCCTCCCAACTTGTAACTTCAACATAAAGGGGTTGAAATCTATAGGATAGGAAGGTTTTGTGGAAAGGGGTAGGGTACAGCCTCGAGCAGAGCCAAAGCCAGAGAGGGAAACCCTATTTGTTGGAGCTGGGCTGATTTTCTTCCCCTCCAGTGGGGCCAAGCGATGGCCCCCACCCACCAGCCACTCACCAGGGAGCATACGACGCCGCGATGAAGAAGTAGATCACCATCCTGTCAAACATGTGCAAGCAGTGCTCCACGGTCCTGCGGGACGGACAGAGAGACGGGTCACAGCCTACAGCACCAGGGGCCTCCGGACCCTCTCCCGTTTCCCGAGCCTCAAGTGATCAAAGCTGGTACCTGAGATGCCTCTTCTTCCAGGAGATGGTGTGGAAGATGGTGGAGACGATGAAGAGGCTGGACAAGCCAAAGCCATAGATCCAGGCTGAGATGGTTTCCCACTGGTCATCAGAGAGGATGTAGAGGATGGAGCTGCCGAGGATGCTGGGCAGGATCCAGAACTGGAAGGGAGAAGCAAACCTGTTGTTGACTCTCTGCGTTTCCATTGAGCAGCTACAATACAGTCTCTGCTTTTCCTTCTTGTTTTTTTCACTTCTGGTTGAAGCTACCACCGCCCACACTGGCCAGGCAGGGTCTCTCCCCGCGTGGTGCAGCTCCAAAGTAGCTTCTCCAGGTGGGGGTAAGGGGAAGGAGGAAGGCACAAGGAGGATGGCTACCTCTGAGTCATCTCCCAGGGCTCGGAGCAGGAATTGCCAGCTCCCGAGAGAATCCCTGATGTGGGGAGCGCTTGCTCCCGCGGCTGTGTAGGCAGGTCCATGGGGCGCCTGTCGCTGTTCCTGCTGTGAAAAACACTTCCATTTTCAGGGAGGTTTGCAAAATACTCCTGCTCCACTAAGCCCACGGCCAGCTTCCCTGGGGTCACACGGCCATGGTGGGTGGGAGCAAGGAAGATGCACCCCAGTTTCCCAGGGCAGAAGGAGGGAGAGCATCCTCACTCCCCGGGAGCACCTGGGGCACATCTGCCTCATCACAGCCCCGAGACCCTCAGGAGCTGCTCCAGGGCTGAAAACAGACATTTTTAATCATGGAATCATAGAATCATCTAGGTTGGAAAAGACCTTTAAGATCATCGAGTCCAACCGTAAGGACTGGTGGCCTTTGAGGTTTCTCAGGGGATCCCCGGAGAGCTGAGCACCATCCTCCCTCGCCCTGGGACGGGGACAGAGACTCACTGCATGGGTGGCACAGTTCGCCGCGTGCTCGTACTCCGTCGGCTGGTACCTGCGGTTGGACGGGACGCGATGATTCATGAACCTGCAGCAAGAAGCAGGGAGAGAAACACGCTGAGGGGATGGCGTTTGGGGGAAAGCCCTTTTGGAGGGGTCTGCAGAGGGACAACCACCAGCCCGGAGCCCCACCTCGGCTCAGCTTTGCTCCAGCTGCCCTGCAGAAGTGACCCCGGCACTGGGCACGGCTTGTCCATCTGGCTGGTCCCAAATGCCAGGACCCCAGGTCTTGCTCAGCTACGGCTCAGGCTGAAGCATTTCCCAGTAGCTGCCGTTGCTTGGAAGCAGAGGGCAGGAGCCAGCTCTGCCTGCTGCTGCGGGGAGGAGAGGGCAGACAGGGCAGCGGTGGGAAGGATGCAGGGGAAGCTGCTCCAAGGATGGATCGATAAGGTCTGGAGCATCTCCCGACCTGTCCCGGAATGGGGCAGAGGTGATGGTCAGTGGCCTGTCCAGCTGCCAGCTCCTGTGACACTGGCACTTCTCACCATCTTCATTTCACAGGTGGAAAAAGTGAGACACCATGTAACGACACGATGCGGTTACAGCCCACCTGCCCCAGAGAAAATGGACCAGCACAGTTCTGGCAGTGGAGAAGAGGGCACATGGCTGCAGGTCCATGACCCATCCGGTGGTGACACCCTCATGTCACAGCAGCGTGCCCAGCTCCAACGAGGGTATCCCTGCGATGCTTTCGGTTTTGGGGTACCACCTGCATCTACCTCCTACCGTCAGGGGCCGCATGTCTCAGCACAGATTGCTGTAGGGGGAAACCCCATCGCACTCCCTTGGAAACCTGTATCTTTATTTCTGTTTCTCTTAGTCTGAGGTATCAGCTTGCTCTTGGCGTTTGAAGGAACGTATTGATTTCTCCTGTCGGATCAACGCACAGCGATAAAAAATAGTGTCGGGCTTGGCTAGTCCATTGCTATGTACCTAACGCTGTATTAAGAGGCAAATTAAATATGCATCTGTGATAACAGGTTGGAGCAAAGTGCTGCCTTGCTCAGCATCCTCTTCTGGCAGGGGCCAGCAGCGGAGGCTTAGAGAAAGGGAATAAGAAACGGGCAAACAGAGAGTGATCCTTCCCTGGCTGCTCCTGGTAATCAAGGGTTTAAAGACCTTTTCTGCTGTGGCTCAGGTCAGGACGGCCGAGCTAATCGGGCGCCAGCGGGGCTGCCCTGCAGGACCTGGGCTAATTACTTTCTGATCCTGCTTGCTCTCGGCTCCGGCACCATCTGCGGCGTGTTTCACAGCTGAGCTGCGCCCGGCGAGGGGGCGAGGGGGCGAGGGGGCTGGCAGAACCTTGCCGCTGGGCGCAGGGTGACCCCTCGGTCCGGGGCACTGGGAAAGGCAGTCGAATTCCCCTCTCCCCGTCCCCGAGCCACCCATGCCAGTGTGGACTCCTCTGCCATCCTCTGCCTGCTCAGACCCACCGCC